TCAGGACCGAAGAGAAAGAGAGCCGGGGAAGCGGCGGTGGGGGGGAAGAAACGGCGACCGGGCACTACTGTAGAAGCGAGTAGGGCGACCGAGGCAGCACTTGCGGCGAACTATGTACCCGGCTGATGTTGTTGCGCCCTGTTTCCCTCCCTGCTGTATATGCTATACTCCTTTATGTATGCCCTTTGTATTGCCTTCGGCCTCTGTGCTGTGTTTCTTTTTTTCATGACCTCCCTGCCTACTCTGCTGTGTTGGGTACCTTGATCTCGCTTTGCTGTTGCCATTGTTTTTGTACGTCTGGTTGTCTGCCCATCTGCCGCCTCTTTGTCCTGTTTGCTCTGTTACTCCCATGCCCTGGTGCGCAGTGCCTGGTGCTGGTACGTTACCCTTTGATTTTTTCTTTGGGCGGGTGTGGGAAGCGTCCTCCTTGATTTTTGTTTTTGTCTTTTGTTGATCGGTTTCCGAGGGCTCTTTTTTCGAACGGTCGGTGCGATACCTGTTCTTTTCTTTCTATCATTTTATTATCTTTTTCCGAGTGGTTTGTACCCTATTTTTGTTTTGTTTCCCGCGGCGTTGTATGTGCCGGGTGTTGAGACCACGGGCTCCCCGTATTTTGTGGACTAGTCTATAGAGCAAATGTGAGAAACAACAAGAACAACAAGAACAACAACAACAACAACAACTCCATAGGGCAGAATCTCTCGTACAAGCTCATGATTTCATGATCATGGGTGAGAGTTGTATCCATCCGCAGATCCGCAGACAAAACTTAATCGACTGACGGGCAAGCACTACCAGAGACCAAACGGTGTGGAATGTTCAACGGTTGTGACGTTGAGAACGTCTGGGGTTATCTTGATCCTTTTTTTTCGGGGTAAATACCTATGCAACAACCTCCATCGCCGGTTATCTCACACATCCATCGACCACGGGCGTCTCTCACCCTCCTTGCAATCAAAGGCTGGCCCCACACCTCCTTCGTCCACTCCCCCAAATCCTCCATCTCCCTATCCTGACCAGACTCATCCCGCATTAGTCTACATGTACCGCATCACAAAGTAAGAGGTGTAACCGAAGATCCGCGGACTTACAAACAATCGCGAATGTGCGAATGTGCGAATGCTCAACCGCTAAACGTTTCGGGCTATCTATCTTGATACATTCCATTCTTTTCGAGGTAAATACTACAGGTAGCCTTTCGCTCACGCTATGGATTCATTGCTAATCTATCTTAGACTTATTTCTATAGATAGAGATGGATTTGTTGTGTGATATAAAAAAAAAAAAAACTCAATCACCGGTTTACCTCACACATCCATCAATCACCTCCTTGCAAGGCCCCGTACCTCGTCCACTTCCCCAGATCCTCTCTCTCCCTCTCCCGACCAGACACATCCCGCATACACGTACCGCATCACACCATGCACGGAAATCGGACCACGCCGTCAATAAAGCAAGTCGCTGTTGCCGCTATCGGAGCCGCGGCGTTGTCAGCGGCGGGATGTATGGCGGCACCAACACCGATGGACATCAGTAAGTGACTCAAGTAAGTGCTCTTCCCCAGAGGGAGGGAGATCTGTAATGGTTTCCATTCTCGGCACAGACTCGCGCAACAAGCATGAACGGAGTAGCGAGGGACGGCCGTGATGAGAAGTTATCAAAAGAAGCCATGGTTTAATACTCGGTCACCCCGGTGGTCTAGTGGGTAGCCTCGCAGCCTGCTAAGGGCCAGGTCATGGGTTCGAGTCCCCACAGAGAAGAGCTTTTTCTCGCTAATTAAATTCTGGTCTCCGTTGGAAGCGATGCGCTGCAAAGCTCGTTGTTTGTAAACTTGATCGACTTCATAAGTCGCGAGGGAAGGGATTGCTGTACCCTCCTCGCGATAGAAACACCGCAGGCAGGAAGCGCAGGAGGGGGTCCAACACCCCCCTCCCATGTGGCCCCGGTTGGGTTGTCTAGCTGTTGGAAGTGGAGGATAGGGGCCAGAGGGGCAGACGACAATGTCCAATGATTGGAGAAAAAGAAAAAAACTCAGAGGACAGCAAAGGAAGAATCGAGAGATTCGTTCCGTTTTGCGGGCCACACCCCGCATGCTGTCGCCGAAGACAGAAGACAGCTGATTGATGAGAGGACAGACGTATGTACACGAGCCTAGAGTACACAGCAGTGGTAGGAAGGAGCGGTAGACTCTGCAGGGGAGGTGTAGCGCATGGGGCGGGTTCTCAAGGCATGCGCGTGGCATATTCGTGGATCTTGAGTCACAGCTATATATAGTCTAGCTGCCGATGGTTGTTCCGGCGGGTTTCGGGTTCGCAGAGAAGCTTCAGGTGTTTCGACGCCAGTCTTCACCCGCTCCGGATAACATTTGATTTGTGCTGTATGTAGCGGGGTGACCCACAGACCCACGGAGGAAGGTACTACAGCACATACATCTACGTGGGTGATATTTTCTGTGTGTGTGGTCCCACGCTGTCCCTGGCGTGGTTGCCTCCGATAAGCGGTTCATGTGCACAATCCCATTTTTGCTCCTGCTCGGCAGCTACTTAGTACATGACTAGACTACTGCTGCTGTGGACTTTTTTTTTTTATCTCCCATCATTGGACTCTGTCGTCTGCCCCTCTGGCCCCTATCCTCCACTTCTAGCTAGACGACCCAACCGGGGTCACATAGGAGGGGGGGGCTGGAACCCCTCCTGCGGTTCCTGCCTGAGGTATTTTCATCGCGAGAAGGGTACAGCAAGCCCTTCCCTCGCGACTTGCGACGTCGATTATGGTTTACTTGGTAACAACGAGCTTTATTTACAGCGCGTCGCTTTCATCCTACTAGACTAGTGGACTATTTGTGGCGGGTTCTTATTTGGACAGATGTTTATAGACTCTTCCCTGTAAGTGTCACCTTTGGAGTGAGTGCTGTCTCACATGTGTGTGTCGTCGATGACCTGTCGGAGATACAGGGTGCTGCTGCCAAAGATTGAGTCAGTGGACACCCACACACGCGTGGCAATGTTGCAAAATAATTAGACTAGTAGAGGTCCATGTTTTGTGCCTGTGCCCGGCATACTGCTGTAGTGCTATGTGGTGCCGGTGTTTTCGGCGGGTACATGCTGAATATTTTCCAAGTCATTTTATCAAGAATTGATCAGTCTAGTTCCAGTTCAGTATAGGCCGGTGAATTTGCTGGGCACATGCCTGCACTAAACAGGGACCTCTACTGCTGTATGCCCAATATCCGACAAATAAAATTCGACCACAACAACTTGTAATCACTACATAGGCCTGACTCCGAAAGCGGTGGCCGTGTATTTTTCAGGTTGTTGGCTTGGGCGGTTGCACTGAAAACAGGTTGCGTCGTATCTAAATCACAAAAAAATCGCCCACGGTGTACATACATGCAATCGTTGTACAAGCCTAGGCAATCATGGTTGGTTCACGAGGTTGCAGAGTAGATCACCCGGACCGACCGGCGTCTTCTGTAACGTCCCGAAAACACTACAATACCAGTTCCAGATATCCAGGACGTATTTCTCGACAAGGCTGTCTTGAAATAGACAGCAGTTCTTCCACTCACTGAGAAGACTTCAACACATCCCGTTCTACTATGTTGGTAATAATCTACTTTTGTACGTATTTTTTCAGAGAAACCCAAAAAAAAAAACAGATGCTACACCCGTCTGTCTAGCCCTCAACTGCAACCCTCGTTTTTTCTACATATATTTTTGCTATATTTGCTGTTCATGGCACACAGGCAACTGCGCCGAGCTGCAGGCGGCTGCTGAAGCGACCGCTACCGTGGGCAACGTGTTGGGGCAGCTTGTCGAGGAGGAGATCTTTTGCGATGAATGGTGAGAGGGAGGCCACATAGAGCCGGAAAATTCAAACCCACACCACCCTCGCGTCGTTGTGTTCTTAAAAAAATGGATTGGGCAGGGTAGTGAGCCGAGGGGCAGATATGCACGTACCGTCCCCCTGCATTAGAGGCCGTCACTCGCGTGTCCACGCAGCGCCCCACCGGCAACGATGCCGACGCTGCCCGCGACGATCTACGAAAGCCGAAGAAGCAAAGCTGACCACGGCGAGAATAACAGGAAAAAAAGCACACGAGAGCTTGCAGTAGTTCGTGGGTATTCCATGGGTTCATGCTGGGGCCGGCAGAAAGGCTGAAGGCGTTGTAAACAGCGAGCGGTGGTGGTGATTGGTTACATGGCACAGCTTCTATATTCCCGTGCCGTTTTGTTTTGTGTTGTGGTGGAATATATATATATATTGCATTGATGTTATTCATAGAGTATGGCACCTCCGTTACGCTCGTTTGTAGCGTGAGATGTTCACTCTTCTCTTGTTTCGCCTGCCAAGTTGATTTCCCTCCAAACTCTCCAGCAAAGGAACTCGCCGATGCCTATGGTCGCAAGATTCGCAATTGGTTCGCGAGAACGAAAAACCACAGCCGTCTCGATACTTGGCCTGTGCTTGAGTCGGCGAGGCAGAAACTTTTCAAGGAGAGCATGTGAACATGACCACCACCACCACCAACAGGCTCAACGTGGAAATTCCCGAGAACAAGCTGAAGCTGGACGGCGACGACGGGGTCACGTACAAGTTCGACAAAGTCCGTTTCGTGGTCAAGAGCGGAGCGGTTCTTCGCGTGGAGGTGCCCGTGAAGTTCACGGGCGACCGCACGCAGGTACTGTATCCACGGGTGATGATGCAACAATGTTCCCTCAACTAACTCGTCCACACAGTGCTTGCCTTGTTGGAGGGGAGGTTACTACGCCGTCCAGACTCGTTTGTGTTCCTTGCCCCGTCCGTGCCCCTCACGTATCGACCTCCGGAACCCGTCCTTCTTTCTCCACCCCGACGCCGCTCTCGCTGGCGCACCGCCGCGTGTTGAAGCACGCCTGGGGACGGCGGCCTGCATTTCTGTTGTAACACGACTACATGTTGATGGTCCATCTCTATCCAGAGATGAGAGTCCATCTAATGCTCATCATTATGTGAATGCATTTATTCATTTCTCCCTTTTCGTTTGCAGGTGGTCCACGGCGGCGTGCTGAACGTTGAGGAAGGCGGCAAGGCCCGCTTCCTCTCCTCGGTGTCGATGGACGGCATCGGCGTAGACACCGTAGACCTCGCGGACATGAAGCACGGGGGTTGCGTTTACAACCAGGTACGGAAAGATACATATTCCGCAGAGGACTTGTTAATCTCTCTGCCGATATGTGTAACGTACCACACGATAAATATTTCTAGGTTATGGTGTGTTTTGTTTGGTTTGGGCATTTCATATTTTCTAGTTTTGCGGACGCGTAGTATACTCGAGTGTGGTGGAGGGGAAAATATCCGAGAGTTTCATAGAGACAGACGCGACCATTCGGGGTTACCTTCGGATGACTTGTGCCAAATCGAGAACTCGCGACCTCGATTTGAGACGCACGGTCTGCTCTATGGGCTGTTGCCCGTGCACAAGCCGAGCCAGGCGCGTGCCGTGCCGGCGACACTCGCCGGCGGCGACTACGGCCCGCCAGTTGCGAGATAAAGCCTTTGTCGCTTCCGACCATAGCGGCAGCACTACAGCAGTAGTAGAGGTTCCTCTTTGAGGCCGCCATGGTCCAAGGCAAAACACCGGCCTTGCATAGACCACCCGACACTACTCAGAGAATATTACAACGCGAATACTTCATCTGTGTCAACAGATTTCACCGACCTTCAACAGGGCAACCGGTCTTTAATTAAGCGGCCTTGAAACAAGGACCTCTTCTACTGTAACTAGTCCCGATCCTTACATACATGGACGATACAACATGCCGCCCGTGACACGAGACTTCGATCCTCTTCGCCCAGGGCTACGTGCGATTCGAGGGCGAGTTCTACGCCAACGGCTGCGAGACCGTGTCGACCATTGACGAATACCGCGTGGCCATGGCCGGCAACGGTGCGGGAATCTGGAACGGGAAGGACGCCAAGGTAGTATTCAAGGAGGCGGTCGAGATGGACTTCTGCGGAAACTGGGTGAGCATTCCCGTACCGCGATATCAAACCGTGTCGGTTCATCAGAGGTATGTACCGTAGTCTTGGTGTCGCCGTAGAGGTCTTTCTTCGATTCCATTGGCCCACACCAGTCACCAAGCGGCAAAACCCGCGGTGCCATATTTTTCGTGGGACCGGTTGAAGAACGCAGGATTTACGTTGTTCTTTCCTAAGAACGCACAACAGCGGCGGCTTCAACCGCAACAGCGCAAACGCCGTCCCGGTCACCCCGATGGTCTTGGGGCAAGCGCCAAGTATAGATCCCGTTCCGTTCGTTTTGTTTTTCTTCTCAGCCCTGGACTTCCAACGGTGCCGAGCCGGGGGCGGACGGAGGGGCCATTTTCTCGGACGGCGAGGTTTCCTTCTTCGAAGACGCTCTTTTCACGAACAACGAGGCAGACGTGAGTGTCGGGTATTCGTTATTATTCCCGTAGCGAATGCCGGCGGGGCGGCACGGCTGTACACGGGGGATAGTTGAAGGGAAACAGCAGTCCCTCGAAATTGAAGGCTGTGGGAGAATCGGACAGTCACATATGGGTGCTCCGATATTTTTGTGAAAGCTGGCTCTGTTTGGGTCCGGCTTGGTTGTTGTTCCCGATCCAGACACAGAGTCTTCACGTATGGGGTGTGCCCCCGCATGCACGCGTTGCTCTCTGCAAACTGCTTGCTGCGGTGTCGCTGGAACCTTGGAACTGAGTTATAGCGGGCGCGAGGAACTGGTTGTTCGGCCTGCATTCATGTGCATTTCACTCAAGGTCCCCCCGTCGACCACGTTGTGTAACATTACCCGCTTATTGATTTTTAAGCTTTTGGGGGTGGACGGGTTGTTGTCGGTTTTCCTCAGGAGGGAGGGGCGCTGTGGATTGGCGTCACGGGCGTGGTCAAGTTCCTGAAATCAGCCAAGGCCACCTTCCAGTCGAACTCCGGCCCCGGCAACGGCGGCACGATCAACAACTACGGCGTGCTGGTAATGAGGAACACTGCCTCCTTCAACCAGGGCCGGTCGACCGACGGCAGCGGCGGGTGCATCTCGTGCGGTCCCGCCTCGGAGATGGTGTGAGTGGTCCCTCCCTGGGCTTTTGCTGTCGTGGGTACTGTGGACAGATACAACGGTGTTTTAGCTTTTAGAAAATATGCATTCAATCAACTAGAGACTAACCGTTCGAGATATAAGCATAGCAGTCGACGGGGATGGAGTTGAAGTATTTTTCGTGAATGGGGGTAGTTTGTCGGGGCCCGTCTTTGGGTCGGTCCTGTTGTTTTAGGTGATGCGAAAACCGAGGTTTTATCCTGCTACCACCGCGTCTTTGGGTCGGTCCTGTTGTTTTAGGTGATGCGAAAACCGAGCTTTTATCCCGTTACCACTGCTATTTACTACTACAGTCGTCCTCGCTTTAAAGACACCATTTTTAAAGACACTCCCCGCTTTAAGGACACAAAAAATCTCAGAAACATAGTGCCTCGCAGATGTAAAAAAGTAGGGGGGGTAGGGTTTTCCACCATCCGACCCCCCCCAGAAAATGTGCTGCAGCACCTGTAGATCCTGGATCATCAACAGTCGTCTGCTGCAGCCCCACACTGCGTGTGGGTGTATGGAAAGATTCATTCCATCTGCTAGCAGTTCGTCTGCTGCCGGCTTGAAGCCATGCGGCGAACCGACGTGCCAGTTCGAATCTGCACTGGTGTCACTGGTTCATCAGTGTCCGTGCGGGCGACCCATGCACGCGGTTTGTGGTCGGGGCATCGGAGAGGAAGGCCACGGACAGCNCCCCCCCAGAAAATGTGCTGCAGCACCTGTAGATCCTGGATCATCAACAGTCGTCTGCTGCAGCCCCACACTGCGTGTGGGTGTATGGAAAGATTCATTCCATCTGCTAGCAGTTCGTCTGCTGCCGGCTTGAAGCCATGCGGCGAACCGACGTGCCAGTTCGAATCTGCACTGGTGTCACTGGTTCATCAGTGTCCGTGCGGGCGACCCATGCACGCGGTTTGTGGTCGGGGCATCGGAGAGGAAGGCCACGGACAGCAGAGTGCTCGTTTTGACCTTTTGGGAGGCGCGGTGTCCTCTTTGTCGCTGTGCTTTCCCGACATTTTTGGTCTGTGTTTCTGCGTAACCTACATTTTCCTATATAATAGTGTCGTTTTACAACCTTCGATATTTCTCGGGTGCGGTAGCGAGATCTTGGGCAAGATATTCACGGGGAGGAAAACGCCTAAAAATTAAAAGAGGGCAAATAATTAAGCCCATATCAACACCAGCGCACTACCGTCGTATACATGTACGATGGGTAGGTCGTAGAAAGCCATCGCTTTCAGCGTGTTGGTGGTACAGTACTGGGAAATTCAAACGATGGTATACAAGTATGTATNGCTTTCCCGACATTTTTGGTCTGTGTTTCTGCGTAACCTACATTTTCCTATATAATAGTGTCGTTTTACAACCTTCGATATTTCTCGGGTGCGGTAGCGAGATCTTGGGCAAGATATTCACGGGGAGGAAAACGCCTAAAAATTAAAAGAGGGCAAATAATTAAGCCCATATCAACACCAGCGCACTACCGTCGTATACATGTACGATGGGTAGGTCGTAGAAAGCCATCGCTTTCAGCGTGTTGGTGGTACAGTACTGGGAAATTCAAACGATGGTATACAAGTATGTATTATTGCAGCACAATAGCAGCAGTGGTTGCGACCTTCAAATCACCTTGTGTCGTAGGTTTCAAACAACACCTCTTGTGGTCGCCTTTCCGCTGCGAATGCGCACCTTTTGACGTATGTTGCGCCTTCATTGGCCCCGGGGATGGTGCGTTAGTGGCCCCGGAATTATAAAGATACTTCCCCGCGATAAAGACACTTTTTTCTTGGGAAAACGTCGTGTGTCTTTAAAGCTGGGTCGACTGTACTACTACTAGAGCAATGCTACGATAGGGGGGGACACTTTTTAAGACATGCCACCAAGCTGCTTTGTCTTTTCGATCGAATGGCCTCCGTCGATGGCCCACGAATGCGTCGGGCGGTGAGCGGTAGCAGCTATTATTGCATGCATATCTGCTATCCCCCGCGGGGATCTCGAACGGGAACGTCACCCGCGTAGTTACAAGTCTCGGAGTGCGGTACGTATGACACGAGAAAAGCACCACAAGACAAAGAGGATATTGAAGAATACCGCTCGCCATCGATTACACTGCAATCGCCTACAGGTGGCAAGCACAGCTCACCTTCGTGAACCGGTGTGCCCCAACTTTCGGCACTCGATTAGCACCCCCGAGGCATGAATTATTACTTCCCCCGTCCTCCCCCGTTCGTCGTGGTCCGACCATCACTAAAACAAACGCGGTCGGTCAGGTTCGTCAAGAACGTCCTTTTCGACGGCTGCCAATCGACGGAGCACGGCGCAGCGATCTACATCGACTACGACAACGTTGAGTTCCTTCCGGAGGATGCGACATACACCGACAACTTCATCGTCAACAACGTAAGAAGAAAAAACAACTCTCTGCAAATACTCCAACAAGACATAATCCCTTGGACTGCTGTGAAGGGCAAATCCTCTATCTGAGTGGGTTGGTCCAGGGTGTCTCTGTGGCTCGGGTGTCGTCAAGGAAGGGATTCCTGGAATTCACGTCCGCACGGTGGTACCATGTTTGCTTTCGAACGGGTAGGCGTGCGGTACTGCTGTATGCCATGGGTATTTTTTCTCAACAGAAGAAGTTAGAACGCTCTTCATATAAATGCCGGGGTGGTTACTTTCGTGTGGTAGAGAGAGAGACGCGAACGAACGCGCGCGGAGCGCCTCCGTTCTGTGTCAGCTTGTCAGGGAAATCACCGCTGCTCCGAACTGCAATGCTTTAAATCATCTCCGGTTTGCTGCTCTTTGCCTCTTCGCTGTTCGTACCGTTAAAGATCATGCACAACCCTGCGAAGATGAAGTTGCTTCTTCTCCAAAAAATCACGCAAGAAAATTGCTTCCGATTGTTGAGGGTGGCTGGAAAACCACTCCTTGCATCTACATTGTTCCGAAAAGAAACGCACTGGACTGCGATAGCAACTCAAAACGACACGCACGCATGCACGCATGCATGCATGTGTGTGTATGTGTCTTTTGGTCCTTGTTTTTATGGCGACAGTCCCCCCATTTTTCGTGGTGAGGCGTGTACTACATTTTTCAGCGTTTGTTTGTAGAGTACTACACTTTTTAGTGTATTTTTTCGTACAACTACAACCATCCAGGGATACACAGGAGGAGGTAGACACCAGGCGGGGCTTTTTTTTCTTCTTTTTATTTCTTTTCATGCCCCACCTTCCTCCTGCGGTGCGCGCTGAATTTTATTTTTATCGCGAGAAGGGTCCAGCCGTCCTTTTCCCTCGTCAATGGTGCTAACAACGTCGAAGTTTGGTATTCACGAGAGCTTTGTTGCTATATATAATATTTCGCTTTCACCCGCAAATTTCGTCAATTATTCACCCCATGGGGATCCGAACTCACAACCTCTGCGACTAGCGGATTACGAAGACACCACTAGATCACCGGGGCGACCGGGCGTTTGCATGTAGACATAGTCTAGACTATATGTCTCGACTACACCCTCATTATGTCGATGGTACTTTCAGCACGGATGGATGGATTTTCAGCGACTTCATTCGGTTGATCTCGCCATTAACTGCTATTATCTCCGCCGACCCATGCCGCTGAAAACAGTCGGATGGCTTTTACAAGTGTGAGGATGTCTACGTGGTTGGAGACGGCAGCGGCGATGAGGACGCCTACTTGTGCCTCCCCTGATGAGCCGCTGGCTTGGAAGATGAAAGCGGCAAACTATAGATCTAGCTAGTACCAGGTTGGACTTCTGAAATATTAGAGTCCGACGGATTTCCGTCAGCAATTAGCAGCAATTAAGGTAATAGCTGCGCACCGGGGACTGCACTTGCTGGTCGAAGTGCTGCGTTGAATCCACCCATCCATGGAAAGGTGTACCCTCCTTGGGGTGGTTAGTCTGTCACCACGGCAGGCGTCCGCGTCAGTTGGACCAGTAGTATACGGATATTATAGAAGGTACTGAGCGGAGACCGGAACGGATTTTAGTGCGACGACAACAAAAACGACAGACAGTATTTATTTTCGTTGGCATGGGGTTCGGTTGTGTTCCTTTTCAGGTGGGTTGGGTGGCGTCGGTTTTCGTTACTGTGAGCGCCCTCACAACTGTATAGAGAACCCCTCGCGGAGCAGGAATGGTGTGTGGCACCAAGCTTCGACGGTGGGTTGTTTGGTGTCGGGTATCGTTGCTGAGCGCCGTCAACTGGGGAACAGTTCGGCAGCGGAGGAGGATGGGTTAAACACCAAGTTTCGGGGGGTCGTTTGGCGGCCCCGCTTGTCAGCGATGGCTCTATCTACCCGTTTCGGGATATAGCCAAGAAACGTCTACACCCTACAAGCATGCAAGGCTATTCTAGTTGTACTTGAGGATATTTTCCCATAACAATCGTTTAGACCATCCTAATACACGTAGAAAGAGTGACGAACGAGCGTGGATGTTGGATGCTCTGGTGTGTTCTTGATATTTCGTGTAGTCTCTTGGTTGTTTTGTGTCTCATTTTCGTAACCACTAGAGGTACATGTAATCGTTTGTGATCGGGAATGAATGAATGAATGACTCTCGTATTTACTCAGTGGTGAGAGCGGTTGGGTTCACAATGAAATATGTCTGTCGCCTGCACCTACGTGTAGCTCGCGCGTGCACCCATAGACTACTAATACTTTTGTACGCCGAACCATCCCTTGGTTTGTGCAAAATTCGCACCAAGTACTACACGTTTGTGGCACGCGAGGAGAAGCCTTCTTGCACGTAGCCTCTGTCTCAAGCCTTCATGTATGTACAAGATTTCGCAAGCCAAACAAAGGCTTCCCATGCAGCCATGGAACAGAGCAAAACCGTGGTGTCGCGGCGTGTGCTTGACGTGCGTATGGGCGAATATTTTGCAACGTTGGAGACTGAAAGCTTTGAAACGATGTCGAGACTGCCGTGAGTTATTAAACGTTGGTTGGAGGCGGTGCGGACGAAAACAACGCATTTGTATGCATAGAGAGTAGAAGAGAGAAGAAGTCTCTTAGAGGAGGAGTGAGCCTCAGGGGGGGCAAATTTGCACCACACGACCCAAGCAGACACGCTGTAGCCGTTTGCGACCGAGCATCTAACTGCCTGTACTCCCCAACTGTGTTTTATCAGTGGTTGTGCACTTGTGGTGAAAATCGAGCGCCGATACGGACAAGATGCCTCGGTGTACTGAATGTTCCTTCTTCCTGCCCTCTGTAGCCCAGCCCAACCCCGGGGGGCATGACTCCAGAAACGCTAAATCCACTACTCTGTGCATGATGCTGAGCAAGGGGGCCAGGCGGCTCCCTCGGGAAGACCGCATCTTCAAGGAAGCATGTCAAAGCCCCCAAATCAAATCAACTGCTTACCTCCCGGCCTCTCGCCTTACCATACACAGATCAACTGCTGTCATGAAAACCACTCCTATGTTTCATGCGCAAACTTGTGCTGCAACCCCCCGTTCTTGTAAAAATCAACACGCAACAAAATACACACGCAAGCAAGTGTACCAGACGAAATAAAATCTTCCCAACAACACCTCTATCTTGCCCCCTTCTACCAATATGCCGTTGGCACGGCAATCGTCGGAGCTTTGCACCACCACCGCCCATCCTTCTCCCACAGCATTGTCCGATAAAACCCGCCAACCTGTCGTCCGGTAAACCCGTACGAGGCCGGGTGGTTCAAACAACCTTCGCCAAGAAAAAAAGCAAAGAGAAAAGGCATCGCTCCTCGATCGAAAAGCGGTCCTTGCACGTCCCCTTGCTTCTCTCGTGACAACACACGCCTAGCTCTCGTTTGGAAAGCCCGTCAGAGGGCCGGGTAGCTGTCAAAGTCGCCGACAGCAACGAAAGAAGAGAAATATGCTCCCCAACCGAACAGTGACCCTCGCGCGTCTTTTGCCTCTCTGGCGGCCAGGCCATTCCCAGGCACGAGGGCACAGCGATATCGCTTCGAACCCTGCCCCACCCCCCTCCCCAACATCGCCTCCTCCAACGCGTCACCCTGAACGCAACATGCCCCACGGAGGGCTGATACATGCCCGACACGGGCAACGGAAGTGAGACCGATCTAAAAAGCTAACAACGCTCGACAGGAGCCATCCTGCCAACAAATCAACGGCCCAAGGTCAAGCAAAGTCTACGGATATGCATATATATGAAGACGAGAACCTCAAGGAGAAAAGGCCGCGGGGGGGCCAACGCAGGGACAATAACAACAATTGTTCCTGGTATGTACTAACGAAAACAACGGAGCATATCCCATTCAACAGCACCCAGCCAAACCGGGAATTTTTTTCTTGTCGCTCAACAAAACAACCAGAGTCGCCTCAACAGCCGGCAAGCAATGTAGTACCTCCTGAACAGCCGGGCGTACACGAGGCCAATCAAACAACCGCAACGAAAAAAAAATCCAAGCCTACGATGGAAGTACCCGGAAGGAAGACTGTCAGAACAGTCGCTGTGACGGGCCAACCCAAAGGACCGCAACCAAAAGAAGCGAGCTAGGTCTCGAACGGAACTAGGCCTCGGCTCCGACAGGGAAGGTGCAACAGCAGTCACGTTTAATACACAACTGCATCAAGAGCTGCTGTTGCTGCTAAAAACACCCCAAGAAGCCGAGGGCAATGGGTGATAAGCTTGGAACAATAACGTTATGGTACATGGTACCAAGGCCATCGGCATCAACACAACGGTCGTAACTACCGTAACGAGCCAACGGATCAAGTCGGGTAAGTCAAGCCGGTCAACTTATTTCCCCTTGACAGAAAAAAAAAGGGGGGAGGGGGAGGGGGGACATCGAAAACTTCATGAACTAGCCACTAGCAACTTCTACATTTTGTCACCCCCCGGAGAAGAACAATAAAGCTTACAACGGAAAGGACGGGGACTGGCAGGTTCATCTTCACTACCTAGCCACCTTCCAAACACAAACAGGGGACGATCACCCCTCATATGCCCCGGCAATGACTTTACTTAAACGCCCTTCAGGAAAAGGGGCACCGTAATTCTTCATCTCTCCCCTCGTGGGTAGTTCTCCCTCTCGCCTACCCGTCACCTTACAGCAAAGGAGGTGGCAAAAAGATCCCACGATCTCCGAACCGCCATCTCCCATGGGGACAGATAGCCGCCATCCGATCACCTGGGGGTCGATTCTAATACGGCAATCACCGCCTCATTACTGAAGGTAGCAGCGAGTACCGCGGACCTTGTCTCCCACAGAGGGAAACAGCAGCAAGAGTCGCGGTTGTTACCCCTCGTCCCCCGCTAGAGGGCCGGCCTTGAGGGACGAAGACATGCCCCCGCCGCCGGCCTTCGCCATCCTGGCAGACGACGACGACGGGGAGGAGGCCAGGTTGTTTTTCTTCTTGTCCGTCTTGGCGTACTTGTGGATCGTGCCCGGGTGCACCCACTCCATCAGGTCATACACGAAGGACGCCTCGTACCGTAGCCTGGTAGTAAAAGCAAAAGGCAAGAGAGACCGCGCGCGACGTGTTGGGGGGAGGGAGGGGGGTACTCAGGATTTGCTGCCTTGGTTACTAGACCACGTGTCCTCGAGAGAAGACCGGGCATCAATTGCTGCTTGTCCTCGTCCTTGCTCGTGGCCACGATTTCTACTCGTGCTCCACATCTCTCCCGAACCGAACACAGGAGGTCAACAACGGGACAAAAAAAAATACATGCTCCCGACCTCCCAGGACTACAGTAATGAGAACCACGAAAGCGTGGAACAAGGGGGTCCCGTGGCTGTACCAAACTTCATCCGACCCACCTTTCCAACGGGTTCATGTTCGTGGCGTCCCCGGCGCGAGGCAGTGACTTTCGCACCGAGCACGTGTTGTCGATGGCCGACATGCTGTCGGGGTCTATGCCATGTTCCTGACAAGGAGCGTAGACGGCGGGAGGGGGCACCGAGAATGGGGGAGTGGGCATTAGGTACAGACAGGCGGTGGAGTGCGGAGGAGGCGAGCCTATCCCACAGTAGCACATCTATCAATCGGGGCCACAAAATCCCTCAACAGAGAGTGGACGGGAGGGGGGGAGCAGGGAAGGCACCAAACCCGGCAACAGCCCCCGCCGAATACACCCTGGGTGTAGAAACGAACAAGAAACCCACAGCAGTCACACCACAATCGACAAACAGGCAGAGCTAGCAAAATACAAGGGCACCGTGGGGCCCTGAAAAAAGAGACGAGACAACTTCTCACCCTAGCCACCTTGGCGACCTTGGCCAGCGCGCTCTTGGGCAGGTACGGCTTCCTCGCGTACACGAAGCCCCCGTCGTAGCTCCCCTGGAGGGTGTGCCCCCGGTACTGCACGAACACGAACTCCTCCCCGGGGTCGGTGGAGTGGCCCGTCACATACCTGCCAAAACGAGGAAAAGAAAAGAGAAGGGTCAAATGTTGTGCTTTATAATAGAAAAATCGTACAAGGTAAAACTCAACCGTGTTTACATCTCGAACGGGCTGTAGACATGCTTTGAGTCTTGAACAAAAACAAGTTGAATAGATAGAGGCGGGCCAAACGTTGATACATGCGGCAAGTAGCTGTACGTAAAATGCTCTACCAATGCTCCTGTTCTTAGCACAAGCTGGTACCACTTGGTACCGTTCAGTGTATAGGCTTGAGCAAAGTCAAAGTAGCCCAGTCTCCAGCCGGTTTCCCTTCGCTCTCTGTAAAGACTTCAGCACACCCCTTTCAACTGTAGCTACATCTCGAACGGGTAGCCTTTATGTGAAGTCAGGTAGAATTTCGAAACACAGCTGCAATAGGCGTTTTCTTGCCGAGCACAAGCAACACCCTCGTCAACATAAGACTTCAGCCTTGCCCGTGTAGACATGGTGGTCCATCGCGGTGCAGAATATTTCATCATCTAGAACAATCCAACCCCATGTCTTATTACTACTCACGACCCCATACCGCCAGACTAAACCGAAAAGTCCCAACAATACCTACCTTCAGAGAGAAAAAAAAGCAGGAAAAACCCGGCCAGCCAAGAAAACAACAAAGCGCGAGGGTACCAAATCAAGAAAAAAAGCAACTCACCAGTTCTCCTTGAACGAGAGACCGAACAGCTTCCCGTCGGTGTGGAAAGTTCGGGGCGAGTCCGCGGGGTCCACCTGCAGCGTCTCCGTGATGGTGTTCTCCCAGAAGTCGTCCGAGTCCGGCTTGGCCAGCCTGAAGTTGACCTTGATGTCGGCGACCTGGCGCGGGGTCGCCGTCGCCGCGGTGACGTCACCTCCCGATGGTACGGGGGCGTCTACCGCCTGACGACGAGAATGCAGACACGCAAGCGCGTATGGGGGTCGTGGCGGCGATGATGGTCAGAGATTGACTTTGCTATGCCTGAGGGCCGACGGCGTCTTAGTCCAAAATAAAAGCAACGCCAGGCCGCCAAAAGGGTTCCGAAGGACATTGTCCCTTCTGTACTGTACCTTGTTGGTATGCATATGATGCATGCAATTTACTGTTGTACGAATCGCTGAACACAACGTACACACTGTCCCAAACGAAAACACACAGGAACTGCTGTCGTTCGTTCAAGGTGAGACTTGCGCTTTTTTTTTTGTCACACGCAGTGAGTGCGGTCGACGCTACAACATAAAGTAGTAAGAAGAAACCCACCAGATGAGCTACAAACACACCTGAGCCACGTTAAACGTGTTCTTCTGGCAGTCGAAGCAGTCGTACTTCTTGTTCACCCCCATGATCTTGATGTGGCACCACAGTGCAACATGATGGGCGGAGCAGAGCAAAGCGACGGGTGATGAGAGAGGCAAGTGGTCATCAATCTAGCTGCTCGTCATGGATCTTTCGATCGAAGACGAGTAAATTGGGTGTTTTCCGACATGATCGCAGTCACATTGCTGCTGGCCGCCTTGGGCACCTTCGGCGCGGCAGAACACAAACACGCCCTCTGCTTTCCGCACACTCTAGGCCGCGCAAATCACCACAACTACTAGAAAGCCTTCCCGCCGTTGTGCTTTGGATCACCAAAACAAGCATTCGTGACAGGGTGAGTTGGTAAAGAGGGATCAGGCGAAAAAGAAAGACGCACACCTTGTACCACGTCCCCTGCAACTGCTTCGCCTCGAAGCCCTTGACGATGTGCGGGGGGTCCTTGTCGATCGCCGAAAAATCCATATCTTTCGGAATCTTCACGCAGCTGTGGTCCTGCGAAAAGAAAAGAAAAAACGAGGGGCGAGAAGGGTAAGGATGCGAGGGGGGGGGGGGGGG